TCTATGTCACCTTTATAAGTGCATTCAACACCATATTTCTAAGAAATTTAAAGAAAAAATTTGGATCCATTAAAAAAATGTTCAAAATATCCTTTGGGCTTCATGTAAAGTTCAAAAATGCAGAGCTTTTACTGAAGTCATGGACTGGCGTTTGTTCAATTTGGAAAAAATTCTTCGTGCAGTTTTGGCACTAGTGTTGTTCACATACATCAGACAGATGGACGGACGATTTGTCACTTTTGTGCTACTGAATGGCACAGACTTTCCCGTATTAGTTTTCTATTTCCTTTGGTCTTGGCTAGCTATATGAACTTTTTTGTTGAAATTGTCTTAATTCTGCCTTTTTGAATTGTCTGTCTTCTTGAATTTTCCGTTTTCCTAATAATAGAACGGAAATATTGCAAGAATATTAAAGAACAGTAAATTGCGCTAAGTGGCAATTTTCTTTAAAAAAATTTGGAGCCTTCATTTGAAAAAAATCCTTTGTATTAGGCGCTAGCGTTGTCCACATACACCAGACAGACTGACGGACGGTCGTTTCGAAGAAGTAGTAGTAAACGAAGAAGAAAAAATATTTTTGGAGTTTTAGAAGATCCCAAAACGTGTATTTCAGTTGAAATCTCGAAATCGATTTTCTGCAGCCTTACATAACTTCCCCCATACTACGTATCCGAAATTTTTTAAATGAGAACAAGCTGAGAATAAAAGTTGTTAAATATGAGTAACTAAGTGCAGTGGAGTGCTGGTCAGTGCAATTTAAAGCAAAACAATTTATTATAGTTAACTTCAGTTGTTGTATACCAATATAGAATTAAAACAATTGGTATAATGCTTAATATAATTGTGAAAGTCCCTATTTTGTTTTTGTCGTGGATTTGCCGTCAAGATCAACATAGGTCTGCACTTACCAAGCCTGAGCTATATTTATCCCGTGGCTAGTGTATGTGAGTGTGCTATTTTTTAAGGGAAATCAGCCTTATGCTGAATCCAATTTTTATCCCAGAGGGTTGGTAGTCTTGAGGTGATGGGGTATAGAATGATAATGATAATGGGATCAGGGCAGGCTTTGGACCCCTGAAGGAATGAAGGGTGAATGGACGACACACACATACACAAACATACCAATGCCCGAGGCGGGACGCCAACTCGTTATACTTCAGCCCGAGAACGCCACGGCACTACTGCCTCAGCAATAACGGCTATCAAGATCATTATTATTATTATTATTATTATTATTATTATTATTATT